TTACCTATCATAAGGAGCAAAACTTAAAGTGTAGAAAATTGTGAGAGAAAATGCTCAATCTTACTCCATTTGTCTTTGAGTTTTTGTCCATTGAGTAGAGTGAAGCCTGTTTTTACTGCACAAGTAAAAGTTCCTGTTGTCTCATCTTTTTAGTGTGTTTTGGATGCTCTTTAGCTTAAAGCTTCCCCCCAAGTGTAAATTATTTTTCTAACCCTAAAAGCACCTCTCTGTTGTTGCAGAAAATTTAGCAAATGTGGAGAACACAAAGGAGAAAGTGAAATAAATCCTTTCTGACCCTTCATCCAAAAACAGCCGGTGTGGGGCTGGCCGGTGTGGCTCAGCAATTAGAGCATCGGCCCCCCAGACCAGAGGGTCATGGGTTCGATTCCTGGTCAAGGGCACATACTTGAGTTGCAGGTTCGATCCCCAGTCCTGCTCAGGGTACGTGTGGGAGACAACCAATCAATGTTTCTTTCTCTCTTTCTCTCTCTCTGTCTCTTTATCTCTCTCTCTCTCTCTGTCTCTTTCACTACCCCTTCCCTTCCACTCACTCTAAAAATCAATGGAAAAAATACCCTCTGCTGAGGATTAACAAAATAGCAAACAAAACAGTAAGCACTTGAACATAGAGTTATACATTGTTAATAATAGTAATAATCCACACCACAAGTCTATGTACCATTGTCTGCTTTGTAAACTTTTAAAAAACATTTTTGTGGGTTTTGTTGTTGTTGTTAATTCTCACACGAGGATATTTTTCCATTGATTCTTAGAGTGAGTGGCAGCGAAGGGGAGAGAGACAGAGAGAGAGAAACATGGACATGAGAGACATATCAATTGCTTGCCTCCCGCATGAGCCCCAACCAGGGCCGGGGATGGAGCCTGCCCACTGAGGTATGTGCCCTTGACCGGAATCGAACCCGGGACCTTTCAGGCCACAGGCCGACGCTCCATCCACTGAGCCAAACCGTCCAGGGCCACTTTGTAAACGCATCTCTACATGATGAACGTGGACCCAGGACCGTGGTCACGCCATAGATGCAATTCAGCCCAGAAATGCATTTGACGGCGTCATTCTTAAAGCGACACGACATAGAAAGGGAAACCCGGGAGATGCCCACTCCGCGGCGGGTTCCTTGGCGGGGCTGGCGTGGGCCGGCTGCACTGCCCGGCTGTGATTCCCTCGCTGGCAGGACAGAGGAGCAGCCGGCGGGCGGAAGGCTGCTTGGCATGCTCACATTTCAGTCGTCTTATCTGGGCTCAAGCAAGAGCCGATTATCAGGCGGCGGAAAGCCGAGCTGGCGGGCGAGGCCTTCGCCAACGCTCTGTGGTTTCAGCTAGGTGAGAGCTCTGTGCCCGGTGACCACCGTGGCAGAGTGGACGTTTGCTGGGGAGAGTGAGGGAGCTGACCTGTTCCTGTCACAGCAGCTTTTCCTTCATTTCTTTCACGTCATTAACCCACACCCCCCCTCCCCCCAGGACGGTAGATCACCGTGCATGGTCAGAGCCCTCTGACGCGGTGGAGCTGTTTAAACTACAGGCGCCCGAGGGGCCGGCTGCACTGCCCGGCTGTGATTCCCTCGCTGGCAGGACAGAGGAGCAGCCGGCGGGCGGAAGGCTGCTTGGCATGCTCACATTTCAGTCGTCTTATCTGGGCTCAAGCAAGAGCCGATTATCAGGCGGCGGAAAGCCGAGCTGGCGGGCGAGGCCTTCGCCAACGTTCTGTGGTTTCAGCTAGGTGAGAGCTCTGTGCCCGGTGACCACCGTGGCGACGGCAGAGTGGACATTTGCTGGGGAGAGTGAGGGAGCTGACCTGTTCCTCTCACAGCAGCTTTTCCTTCATTTCTTTCACGTCATTAACCCACGCCCCTCTCCCCCCTCCCCCCAGGACGGTAGATCACCGTGCATGGTCAGAGCCCTCTGACGCGGTGGAGCTGTTTAAACTACAGGCGCCCGGAGTGAAAAGAGCGTAATTTCTTGAGATTGGAGGGTTTACGAAAACTTCAGATCGCCCTGGCCGGGGTGGCTCAGTGGTTGAGCATCAACCTAGGAACCAGGAGGTCACGGTTCGATTCCCGGTCAGGGCACATGCCCGGGTTGCGGGCTCAATCCCAGTAGGGTGTGTGCAAGAGGCAGCAATCTATAATTTTCTCACGCAGCTTTTCCTTCATTTCTTTCACGTCATTAACCCACGCCCCCTCTCCCCCCAGGACGGTAGATCACCATGCATGTTGAGAGCCCTCTGACTCGGTGGAGCTGTTTAAACTACAGGCGCCCGGAGTGAAAAGAGCGTAATTTCTTGAGATTGGAGGGTTTACGAAAACTTCAGATCGCCCTGGCCGGGGTGGCTCAGTGGTTGAGCATCAACCTAGGAACCAGGAGGTCACGGTTCGATTCCCGGTCAGGGCACATGCCCGGGTTGCGGGCTCAATCCCAGTAGGGTGTGTGCAAGAGGCAGCAATCTATAATTTTCTCACACATCAATGCCTTTCTCTCTCTCTCTCTCTCTCTCTCTCATTTCCTCTCTCTACAAAATCAATTTAGCCTGGCTGGCTTGACTCAGTGTTTGAGCATCGACCTATGAACCAGAAGGTCACAGTTGGATTCCCGGTCAGGGCACATGCCTGGGTTGCAGGCTCAGTCCCCAGTAAGGGGTGTGCAGGAGGCAGCAATCCATGATTCTCTCTCACATCAATGCTTCTCTCTCTCTCGTTTCCTCTCTCTACAAAATCAATTTAGCCTGACCAGCGTGGCTCAGGGTTTCAGCATCGACCTGTGAACCAGAAGGTCATAGTTCCATTTCCAGTCAAGGGCACATGCCCGGGTTGCAGGCCTCAGTCCCCAGTAGGGGATGTGCAGGAGGCAGCCGACCCGTGATTCTCTCTCGTCATGGATGTTTCTATCTCTCTCTCCCTCTCCCTTCCTCTCTGAAATCAATAAAAAATATATTTTTAAAAAATAACATTTTAAAAAAAAACGTCATATTAAGAGATTTGCCTCCAACCACCAGTCATTTAAGATGAGAAAAGGGCCACGCGTTTTCCCCTGGGTTCCCTAAAAAGGAAAAGACAATTGGGTGGAGTTAACCATAAAACTGCACAGAGGCTTTGACGGTGGTTTGAGGTTAGTTTGTCTGCCTTTGAAATTAATTGGTTTCTCTTCTTGGACAATGACCTCATTTCAAGTCATGGTTTAGGCATTCAGGGTGTTGGTGATGGTCGCTCTGGTCTGGCTGGTGGGCCAGATTTTGACCCTCGGTCTCTCTATGAAGGATTCCGGTGTCTTAAGGGAAGACACTTGTCAAGTTTAAAGTCTTGTTCGACTTTGACCCTGACGTTGTCTGAGATGGATAGTACAACAGAATTCTAACTGCCCAGTCGGCGTGGCTCAGTGGTTGAGCGTCCACCTATGAACCATGAGGTCACGGTTCGATTTCTGGTCAGGGCACATGCCCGGGTTGCAAGCATGATCCCCAGTGTGGGGTGTGCAGGAGGCAGCTAATCGATGATTCTCTCTCATCATTGATGTTTCTCTCTCCCTCTCCTTCCCTCTCTGAAATCAATAAAAATATATATATATTTAAAAACAAACCACAGAATTCTAACCCAGAATAAAAGGTGAAAGTCACCTTTACCCCTCAGACTTCCCATTAGAGATACGTGCTGTTTTGATCCTTCAAGTCACTCACCATAATAAACCCAAATCTAACAGTTACGTGAGAGAAATATACTGGGAAGGACATTTGGGGGGAACCGTGTGTTTTGATCTTACTATGGCTAAATTTCACTGATTGGAGGTGAAAGTCACCTTTACCCCTCAGACTTCCCATTAGGGATTCATGCTGTTTTGATCCTTCAAGTCACTGTCACCATAATAAACCCAAATCTAGCAGTTACGTGAGAGAAATATACTGGGTGGGACATTTGGGGGAAACCATGTTTTTTGATCTTTCTGTGGCTATATTCACTGATTGAAATATCCTGTATGAGATGTTTTTCCTAGAAGTTGACTATTTCATCTCTTTTTTATTATGGATTCATGCTGTTTTGATCCTTCAAGTCACTGTCACCATAATAAACCCAAATCTAGCAGTTACGTGAGAGAAATATACTGGGTGGGACATTTGGGGGAAACCATGTTTTTTGATCTTTCTGTGGCTATATTCACTGATTGAAATATCCTGTATGAGATGTTTTTCCTAGAAGTTGACTATTTCATCTCTTTTTTAAAATACGTTTTTTATTATTTTCCGAGAGGAAGGGAGAGGGAGAGAGAGATAGAAAATTCATTGATGAGAAAGAATCATGGATCGTCTGCCTCCTGCACCCCCACTGGGGATCGAGCCAACAACCCGGGCATGTGCCCTGACCGGGAATCGAACCGTGACCTCCTGGTTCATAGGTTGACGCTCAACCACTGAGCCACGTCGGCCGACCTGGTTGCGTTTTTATTTTGCGGAGTGGAGGAATTTGTAGCCAGGGAGTTGAGAGTATCAGCAAATTCGCCTGAACATTCCTCCCTCGGTGGCCTGGTAATCGGGTTTCCCGCTGTCGCCAAAACTCCGCAGTCCTGGACCCGCTTCAACACCTCCTGGTTCATAGGTTGACGCTCAACCACTGAGCCACGTCGGCCGACCTGGTTGCGTTTTTATTTTGTGGAGTGGAGGAATTTGTAGCCAGGGAGTTGAGAGTATCAGCAAATTCGCCTGAACATTCCTCCCTCGCTGGCCTGGTAATCGGGTTTCCCGCCGTCGCCAAAACTCCGCAGTCCTGAACCCGCTTCAACACTCCCTCATCCTTTTTTGTTGTTGTTGTTGGGATTCTTCTGAAAATGAACGGGGACTCGGCCGTCCCCCGGCGGCGGCGCGAGGGCTTCCGCTGATCAAGTGGCTTCTTATCAGATCCCCTTTGAAACACAGCAGCAGCAGATACACGGGTTTCGGGGAAACGAGGCGCCCGGCCCGCGCCGCCCTCTCACGCCCCCTCCGTTTCCCGTTCCAGGACGTGGTCCAAGACGATCCCCGGGCGGGTGGAGTTCTTCTCGAGCGAGGGCTCCGACACGTCCATCCCCATCCCCATCGTGCCGCTGCGGGGCGTGGACGACTCCTACCCGCCCCAGAAGAAGTCCTTCATGATGCTCAAGTACATGCACGACCACTACCTGGACCAGTACGAGTGGTTCATGCGGGCGGACGACGACGTGTACATCAAGGGGGACCGGCTGGAGAGCTTCCTGCGCAGCCTCAACAGCAGCGAGCCCCTGTTCCTGGGCCAGACGGGCCTGGGCACCACGGAGGAGATGGGCAAGCTGGCCCTGGAGCCCGGGGAGAACTTCTGCATGGGCGGGCCCGGCGTGATCATGAGCCGCGAGGTGCTGCGCCGGATGGTGCCCCACATCGGCAAGTGCCTGCGGGAGATGTACACGACCCATGAGGACGTGGAGGTGGGCCGCTGCGTGCGGAGGTTCGCGGGGGTGCAGTGCGTCTGGTCGTACGAGGTAAGAACACAGACACAGACCCATCTGTTTTTTTTTGTTTTTAGATGTTTTTATTGATTTGGGAGAGGGAGAGGGAGGGAGAGAGAAACATCCACGATGAGAGAGAATCACGGATCGGCCGCCTCCTGCACGCCCCACACTGGGGATGGAGCCCGCAACCCGGGCATGTGCCGTTTACCGGGGAGTCGAACCTGGTTCATAGGTCAGTGCTCAACCACTGAGCCACACCTGATGGGCTGTTGTACATGTTTGCCTCCTTTTTTTGTTTTTTCATTTGAATTCCCTTCTGTTACCTTTTTTTTCTTGAACAAAGAAAACATACCTTCTAGACCAGTGATGGCGAACCTTTTGAGCTCGGC